GAGAAAGAGACACACACACACACACACACACACACACACACACACACAATCTGAAGCAGGCTCCAGGCTCTGAGCCATCAGCACAGAGCCCCGTGTGGGGCTCGAACTCACAAACCAGGAGATCACGACCTGAGCCAAAGTCAGACACTTAACTGACTGAGCCACCCCAGGCTCTCCTCTTCTAGGCTTTAAAATGACCTAAGAGGGGCGCCTGGATGGCTCAGTCAGTTAAGCATCCAACTCTTGATCTTGGCTCAGGTCATGATCCCACAGGTTTGCGAGTTCAAGCTAGGCATCAGGCTGTGCACTGTCAGTGCAGAGCCTGCTTGGGATTCTCTCTCTCCCTGTCTCTCTGTCCCTCCCTTGCTTGTGCTCTCTCTCACTCACAGAATAAATAAATAAACTTAAAAAACGTTTTTACAAACAAGCAAACAAACAAGTAAATAAATAAATAGAGCTAAGGTACTGGTGTCAACATAACACCTCAAACATACAGAGACAAGTGGCCCTTCATTTTTTTTTTTTAAAGAGAGAGAGAGAGAGAGAGAGAGAGAGAGAGAGGATATGAGTGGGGGAGCGGTAAAGGGACAGGGAGAGGGAAGAACCCAAGCAGGCTCCATGCCCAGTGCAGAGCCCAACACGGGGCTCTCCCCCACGAACATGAGATCATGACCTGAGCCAAATTAAAGAGTGGGACGCTCAACCGACTGAGCCACCCAGGCGCCCCGACAAGTGGCTCCTCTTAATGGGCTTAACCCATTTTGTTTTAGGACAAAGACGTTGCTCGACTCCAAGATTTCCAGGAGCTGGAACTGGTTTTAATGATAAGCGAAAACAATTTCCTGTTCCGAAATGCTGCGTCCACACTGACTGAAAGACCTTGCTACAACAGGAGAGCTTCTAAACTGACGTACTAAGTTCAGCAGGGACTTTTATCGCTGAGTATTGTGACAGTGCGCGTCACCTCCGGGCCAAGGACGAGCCATGGATCTAAACGTCTTGGGCGCCCAGGAGGGCCCCGGTGCCACTGCGTCGTCTACACTAACATCGTTCTGCCATGGTAGGGAGCCCCTGACCCCCCGCAGCGGTGCCACTCTTCCACGCCTCTTGGTGCACAATAAACCTCCTGCTTGAAGCGGTGAACAGCGGAGAAGCTGGAGAGGCCGAAGCCGGCGCTTCTGAACCCCTGTTTCCCGTGCCCAAGCTAAGTGAGCCGTCTCAGCAGAAGCGGAGAGGGAGCGGAGCGCGGCTGTCGCCCCTCCTGCGGACAGTGCACCTGCAGGGCTTTCTTGGGACTTGCACGCTCACCGCTCTCCTAAGTGTGAATCGGCTAGAGGGGAAATTGGGGAAAGCACACTGGACAGATGATTTCTAGCGCGACTTGGGGCTGTGAGGTTTCACATAACATATTTACCAATGTTACTCAGGTTTAAAGTATTTAAGACTACAGTTACCTAGTTGTAAATATGCTGTTAACCAAAAGAGCTGCCCCTCCCCCTCTTTGCCCTTTGTGAACACTCCAGACTGCTTCTCTGTCTCCCGGGTCCGCCTTTGCCTGGACAGTCGTCTCTGCATTGACTCTGTGGTCACTAGAGGGCTCTCTGATGCTTTCCAAAAGAGCAGCCGCTTTTTTTTTCTTTTTCTTTTTCTTTCTTTCTTTTCTTTTCTTTTCTTTAAACCTCTGAAGTGATTCCTGGCCTCTCCGTGTTTAACCGCACCGTCCGAGAGGAGCACGAACGTTGCCGGCCCGTGTTCCCCACTTGCGTTCCCCACTAGGCACAAAAAGCAATTTTTGAAACCGAATCTGTTGCTGTTTTCCAGGTGATTGTGGGAAACTGAGCTAAAGGAGTTAGCGTCTTTATTTTTGTATCAAAGATAAAGGTTATTTTGAAATTCCTAGGGTTTTTACACAACTCCGAAATCTGTTGCTTTTGTAAACAAATTGTTTGCCCTTAGGCCTCCCCCACCACCACCCACCCATCCACTTCACCGAGGCGGTTTGTGAGCCTGCCAGGCTTTGTTCTGGAAAACACCTGATTACACTCTTGAGCACAGCCTAGGCCTACGAGAACGTAAGGAACGCCTTCAAGAGTTCCCTTCCTTTCTTTCGGTGTCATTAACGTTAAAAGAGCCACTGTCTTGTCGAAACCAACAGCTTCACTTTAGAAATAAGAATGAGCACACTCAGACGAACAGGAGGGCAGGGGTTCGAAGCCAGCTGTTGAAGAGCATCCCTGCTGTCTTAAGAAGCTTTTTCCCCATAGTGCCTAAATAGTTTCCAAAGAAACTTAACTTCCTAACTGTGTTAATTTTATTGGAACGCTGCGACTGATTGCTGATGGAGCGAGAGCATGCAGACGACGTCAATGGAGGAGAATGTTGGGCCGAGATAATGGCCTCCTGTTGCTGCCTCACTGCTGAGCTGAGGTCGAGGCCGTCCTCAAGGCCGGCTTTGTGGAATCACTCCGTTCAGTGAGTACACCTTAGTCCACCGATTCCTGATGGTGACTCACTCACCCTTGTACGGTGTTCGCACAGCAGAGTCAGACTCCGCAGGGAAGTTACTTATTACCCCTTCCCTGAAGTGCTTTAAAGAAGAAACCGCCCTGGTGGTTCAACCAATCGGAAGCTAGTTTACCGAGACATACTAACCTTCTTTCCTTCCCTTTGGAAAAAGTGACAGTTTACTGATAACACTAAGGCTAGCTCTATCCTGGCAGAAATAAATCCGGTATTAATTCATGTCTAAATCACTGGGGTTAAAACTCGTCTAACCATTTAGATCAATTAGAGACTCAGAAGCAGTGGAGGTCCCGGCCGGGAGGTGGCCTACCGAGTGGCTGCAGGGCATTCCCCCGCCCTGGTTCAGAAACTGGCGAGGGCGAGGGAGAGGCTTGGCGTCTCAGGTGAGGGATGAGCCCGACACTGTCCTCCCTTCTCCCTTGTAAAGTCCTCTGTGGTCACCTGACTCCCGCCTAAGGCGGTTGGATGAGACTGACAGTTGCCGGTAGGTGAGTTTAAAGTCTTAATCTATGCATTCAGAGAAATATTTTTATATGCTTTGTGTAATTTATAACAAGGATTTTTTTTTTTTTAGCTTTGTTAACTGTGAATTCACCCCCCCTCCACTGCATATTTAAAGCATGTGTTCACACCGTGTGTAAACATTCACCGAAGATTGTTTTCTTTGTGCATTGCCGACTGTTCAAACATAACCAGTATTATTAAAATTAAAATATTAACGAACCGAGCCCATATTCTTTCATTTGGGCCTCCTAAGCAGCACTGTACTCCTAATCACCGGGGGTTCGAGTTGTTGGACAGTCCCGGGGACACGGTGCTCTAGGGGAAAAATCGGAGGGACCGTTCGCCCAGCTGAGGCTCCTCCGTCTTGCTGCCACCAAGGGGCTCGTGCCCGTCAGTGGCACCCGCAGACACTTTGTGCAGCGCCTTTCCTCCCGGCTCTCAGCGGCCAGCTTCCTTTCCCTGGAGGAGGTGAGCCGGCTAGATGGAGGTCATCCTCTAGTGACCACATTTTTCGATTAGCCTATTTACTTTATACAACCGAGCCTCTCCTTTGGGCTGCCGGCACCTGTCAGGGCCTCCATGAGCTCAGAAACAGACTCCCAAGGCAGGAGAGGAAGTAACAGCCTCCCACCTTCAGATCTTTAGCTGAGCGTGATGCCGAATGAATCTGCGTTTCTGTTGGGTTAGGGCAGCTAGAACCTCACAAAGCAGACGTCATGCCAAATTGGCCTAATAAATCAGGGAGCATAGCAGAGACCTTTTCTTAGCACCAAGGAGAGGCAGAATAATTTGGGCATTTGGGCTTTCATACTCGCTTTATCACAAAGATGGAAGTCTTCTTCTCTACACTCATAAACATCCTGGGCAGAAACAGGCTGCCAAAAAAAATGTGATTAACCTTTAACAAATGGTCCTGCAGCACAGGCTGACCCAATACATACAGGAAAACCAGATCAAAGGAGCCATCTCCGCACCTACTGCAAACCATTTAGGGAAGAAAGACAAACTATCCCCTACAACCCGTCACATCATACCAAGCAGAAAGGTCGAGGAAACAAGAGGGTCAGACACCGGAAAACTCAGTAAGGTAACAAAGAGAAGAGATCCGTTCCAAATTTCCAAATATGCCTTGTGCCAGGTGGACTCTGACCCACAGGAAATGAGCACTCTGTCGGTTTGCTCAAAACCAAATTGAATTCGGCCCCTCATCTTGCTTATTGGCCCGAGACTGTCAGGGCCAGGGGCGCCTCTGGGCTGTTCTGTGCTCTCACGTGCAGCTTTGGCCACATTGAGGAAGACGAATGGGCCTGAGGCCTCGCTGGTTACGAGGACCTGTCTGGAATAGACTTGTTTTTTTGTTTTTTTTTTTTCAGTTTATTTATTGGCAGATGAAGAGAGTGAGCGGGGAGGGGCAGGGAGACAGGGAGAGACAGAATCCCAAGCAGGCTCCGCGCCGTTGCCACAAAGCTTGATGCGGGGCTTGAACTCACAAACCAGGAGATGATGGCCTGAGTGGAGATCAAGAGTCAGACAACCGACTGAGCCACCCAGGCGCCCCTGGCATAGACTACTAAAGGAGCAAGGGAGTAAAAGGCACCATGCACATCCCAGCCCCTAGAGAAGCAGGCTTGGAGGTCTGAGGGATGGCATGAGGGAGGCGTTCACAGCAGCCTTCCCAAGAGGCCTCGGGTCCGATTTCAGGGGCTTTATTTCTCGCCTTTGCACAGTATCTGCACAGCAGAGCAGGAACTATTGGCAATTACCCAGTGACTTTTGGCTGTAAAGACAATATTTCTAGCCAAAAGCTCTGGAGACTGAAGTTTTCAGATAATCCCAGCCATGTAGATGTACATACAGTCTGCCTCCACCTCTCTCCCTCCCTCCCTGCCCCCTGCAAAGGCCCTAACCCCCAAACGTTATGAACAGGCAGAGAAAGGCTGCATCGGGGTATACGTATTGTTGACCATGTCGCTTTATTTCATCAGTGCTCCATTTTTAATGGATTCAGGCCAGCACCCCAGAGTACAGGACTCAGTTCCTAAGGACACCCTGACCCGGCAGTCTGCTGTTCCAGGAGGAAAAAGCTTTACTTTAAAAAAAAAAAAAAAATCCTTCTGAGCAGAAAATACAAAAAATCAGACAGAGTGGAGAGGTCATTCCATGAAATGACTGAAAACAGCACAGCGTGGCAAGAACACTAGGTTGGGAATCAGGAGACCCCGGGCACCAGTCTGGGCTCTGCCTCAAACTAGCTGTGGCCTCGGGCCCGTAGTTCACCTCTTGGGCCCCACTTCCTCATCTAAAGCATTTAGCACAATTATTCTGTGAGGCACTTTGCAGGGCAAGAATCTAGCAAATGCCTCCAGTGTTTGCCATCAAGTCCATCCTGCAGACGTGCTTGGTGTCTTTTTCTCTCCTGATGAAAACCAGCAATGGCCAGGAGCAAGTCCCAGGAATATATTTTAGACAAGTCCAGCATCTCTGGCCATCCCGTAGAAGATGCCTCTGGCTGCGATGAGGTTGGCTGGAGAATCAAATTCAGCTACTGTCCCTCTGTCCAGGACGAGGACCCTAGCCAAAGAAAAGAAGTGGTCAGGTCTCCATCAGTTTCGACCTGGCCCTTACCGTCCAACTCTGCCCTTCTGGGTCCTGCTCAGGCCCTGCGGGGACATGCCAACCCTCCTGCTTCGGGAGACCCACCCAACACAGCCACTAGGCCACATGTGCACGCTCGCAAGGCTGGTTATTTTAGCCGCTCCGTTTGCTCTCCTAGCAGATGAGACCGTTTCTGGGATCAAACACAAGGTTCCTATTCATCTCTGCTCTTCGGGCCTCTGAAAACCTTCCCTAATGAGCCCTTCCCTCAACCGGGGTCACAGGACTGTGCGCAGGGAGCCACGGGCCTGTGCGCTGGGCCCTGTGCGCTCCTACCTGCTTTGTGCCAACTCACAAAGGCACACGGCAGGAAACTGGGCTGCACGGAGGCCTGACACTGGAATCTGGGACTTTGGCTGCATATCTGGTTGCCGCTGATGGAGGGATCTACACACACACGCGCGCGCACACACACACACACACACACACACACACAGTCAGATCTGGACCTGGGATTAGAATCCCCTGCCAATCAAGCACGGGGTACACCTGGTGCAGAGCTAACAGCCTGACTCCCGGGGTGAGGCAGGAGCTCCCGGCGAGATGCTCCTGGATGGGAAGGGATGGGCCTCACTCTGTTCCCTTACCTACAGGGCTCCCGGAAACACGTCCTGGGAAGGAGTGTGTCTGTGCACATCTCTGCCTGGTCACTGCCCGAACGAGCCCGGGAGATGCCCCTCCTCCCTTCAGTGGTTTCTCACTGTTCCCTAGGGTACCGACTGCTTCCCCAGGGTCCTCCAAGTGCAGCAGAGTGGGGCCTGTCCCTCTCTCCTCCTCATTCTGCCTCCACTGCCCCCTTCCCCCTCTGCACTCCGGCCTCATGTGCCCTCCTACCTTTGCCTGAAATTTGTATCCGTACCCCATCTCCTCGCCCACTCCCCAACTCTTACTCATCCTGTAGGGCCTGGCTGGTGCTTCCTTTCCTTAGGAAAGATAGTGTCCTGGCTGCCCTGTGTGGATTGGCTTTCTCTTCCCTACATATACATACCCCTGCTTCCTTCCCGCAGGCTCTCCTTACACGTTTGATAGCAGGAGTATTTGATTAATTTCTGCCAGTCCCACTAGAATGAATGAACTCCCAACCTCCAAGGTTGGTTTGAGCCTTCTATCCTCAGGGCTACCAGTGACCGCCGTCTTCAGTTAGGCCTGAGAACAGATCCTCTCAGCCCACCCCTGTCCCTTGTCTGGACCCAAGGCCTGGCACCTCTGTCTGTCCTCTCTTCTCTCAGTGGGGGCCTGGATAGGGGTGGGGTAGGGATGGAACAGACAGACGGTAGCGTTGGGCATTCTCGGCTTGGTTCCCAAGCCCCTGGGGGCTGTGTGGGGACACTTCTGAGGCAGGGACAAGGTCTGCCCATTGCCCTATCCATGGCATCCTCCCTACCTCCCCGTGCCTGGAGATGTTTATTTTGTGAATAAAGCCTTATTGATGTACTCCCACCACACTCCTTCGACGCAGATTTATCTCAGCTTCCTCCTCTTCCTTCTTCTGAGCTCCCACATCTCCAAGGGGGCCAGTCTGCCAGGCCACTGCCACGTCACTTCCGTAAGGCTTCTGATCCCCCTGCCCCCGACCTTGTCCTCCAGCCATCACACCTTAACTTTGGACACAGTGAGGGAATAAGTCCCAGATTTTTCTTTTGGCTGAGTGGCTGCCTCCCCAGGGAAGGCGTGGGATTCCCCAGGGCAAGGCCCTTGCCCTAATCCTTAGAGGAGGTTATGGTAAGAGGCTGGGGGAGAAACTAACACTTTCCAGGGTCGCCTGCATTTGAAACGTTTCATTTCGTTGACTCCTTACAGCAACCCCAAGAGAGAGGTTCTGCACCTTGCCCAAGGTCACACAGCAGTCAGCAGCTGCTGGGGCTGGGGCTCAGCCCTCCGCTCTCTCACCACAGGGTGTCTGCTCCTGAGGGTCCAGGCTGTCAGGGTCCAGCCCTCTGAGGCAGGGACTCTAGCATCATGCACTTCTGTTAGCGGCTTCCCCACCTGTACACCCAGCTCGGATTGTGGGAGTGACGTACAAAGGGATGGCCACGCGGGCCCTCTAAAGAGGCAGGGTGCTCAGGGAGTGAGGGTTTTGTCATGAAGGACCCGGTTCCACCTCATAGCATTAACAGAAGGCGGCAGGGAGGCAGCGTGGGCACAATTCACGATGCCTAGGGAGCCCCAGTGTGCCCCTTCCCTGCACGTTGGTGACCTCAAAGTGTCCCGTGTGTCTCAGAAAACATCACTGTGCCCACCGTGGGTAGATGACTCCACTCTGTCCTGCCCCTTACCTATAACTTGGGAAGCCCTGCTCTGTCCCTCATGCCTAGACAATCCCATGAACTCTCCCGTGTCCAGGTAATCTGCATGCCCGTTCCTGGTGACCTAGATAACCCCACCAGGTTCCCCCCACCGCCCCCCCGCGCTGGGTTCTGGCGCCCCACCTGGTATAGTCTATGATGGTGTCGAGCCAGTGTGGGATGGTCAGCACCGTGCAGTTCTCAAACTGGGTGCGGACGGTAGCCCGGATGAGGTCGTCAGTCTCCAGGTCCATGGCAGCCGTGGCCTCGTCTAAAACCAGGATGTGGCTCCTGCGGAGCCCGGCTCGGGCCAGGCATACGAGCTGGCGCTGGCCCACGCTGGGAACGGGCAAGGCAGACATCTTGAGCTGGGTGCCCCCACCTGCCCCCAGGCAGGACTCCCTGAACTGCTTCTGTCTGCATTCCTTCCCAAAGGCCCAGGACTGGCTTTCTGTCTAACTTCTCCCATTTCTGCCTCAGCCCAGTCCTCCTGGAACACGGAGTCATGGAGATCTGGATCCCACAGGGCTGATGAGGGGTCTGGGGTAGAGCAGTGCTCAACAACACTGTGAAATCCCGGTCTGTCTCTGGCACCCCCGGCTTCCTCCTTCTGTGTCTTTTTCCCTGTCCTCGCTCCTCAGCTAGTGCCATGATGCTTCTCTGCTTCTATCAGTCATTTACACTCTAGAAAGAACACACCTAAATGGCTCTTCCCGGACATTTGCACGCATTGTCATCTTGCCGAGCCTAATGTCACACAATCCAGACAGTCATCTCCCAGCCCCATGGGGGAATATAGGCCGGGGCTCTGTTGTGAGGACAAGAAGGGTCAGGGACACGGGGACT